GGCCCTGAAGTCAGGAGGACCTGAGTTCAAATCCAGCCTCAGACCAAACACTTGACACTTAACTAGCTGTGTGACCCTAGGCAAGTCACTTAACCCCAATTGCCTAAAAAAAACAAAACTGAAAAAAAAAGGAATAGAACCAGCTTAGCTGGATATGGATGCTGGACTCTTTTTCCCAGCCTTAGTGGTTTGCCATGTAGATACTGGTACATAGTGTCCTGTTCTGTTCCCTTTTTTGCTCAGTTTTCTGGCCTGAGAAAACACAATATTGTCATGTTGATCTTACTGCAGCCTGGGCCGATTTCTGTCATACAGAACTTGGATGTCCTAGCCTTTGGGAGTGTGGTGAGAATGTGGAGTTGGTCTCTGTTTTAAGAGCAAACACGTGTTCTGCCCCTTTCCCACTTCTTATTTCTCATGCAGAGATTTTTTCCCCGAACATAATGTTGCCATGGTGCTGGCTATTAAATCTGCAGCAAACTTCTGCAGTTTGGAGCTTGGACCTCTTGGCATTAGATAAAAGGAGATGGAGCCATGGTGTAAGATAATATTTTGTTGCAAGCATATGGTTTGGGTGACTAGTTCAGCTCTGCTACTAGAAGAGTGGTCATCAGTGGATAATAGTGTACTGAATGAATGTGAGGTAGGCTTTAGTTTATGTTATAGAGTTTTTATTATCTTCTGGTTTCCTGGTGTCCTAGACAGAGTGGTGTCAAACTCAAATAAAATGGATCCCTGCAGGCTACATATTCACTTGGAAAACCACAAATTAATATTATCTCTGTATTATTGTATTTTCATTTCATTTGTTAAACATCTCCCAGTTGCATTTTAATCTGGTTCAGATTGCACTAGGGAGTTTTGGAAGTTTAACACTTCTAATTGGAGGTGTGCTTTGTTTTTGGCATGTAATTTCTCTTCTGAAGAATTTTCAGACAATTTAAGGATCAGAGAAAATATCTAGGCCTCCATTTCTTGGTCACATGACCCAGAATTTTAGTTCTTTATAAGAAACACACTTGAAACATTCAGATTCACCCGGTTAAAGTGATGGTCTGCTGTAAAATCCAGGGTGCTTCAGCTTAAGTATAAAAGGCAGAGGTAGAAATCATAACTCAAGACAAGGAAAGATCAAAAATGAACTTAATGAAAAGAGATGAATAGCAAGCTACAATGGGAGTAGGCGTGGGATTCTTCACTTTACTCCTTTTGGAGTAAAAAAATCTGTAAAAAAAAATTAAATTATGAACTGGAATAGTCATAGAGGCAGCTAGGTAGTGGAAATAGGAATTCCTGGGCCTGGAATCAGAAAACCTGAGTTCAAATCTAGCTTCAGATACTTACTAGCTGTGTGACTGTGATCAAGTTATTTATCTTCATTGCCTCATTTTCCTGATCTGTAAAATGGGGATAAAAACTACACCTACCTTGCAAGGTTGTTGTGAGGATCAAATGAGATAATATTTGTCAAGTGCTTGGCACATAGTATATGCTCTACAAATATTTACTCCCTTCCCTTCTCCCCTAGAAAAATTAGAGATACTGTACCTAAGGCAGTTACTGAATGGGAATCGAAAGGAGTGAACATAGTTTTAGGTGTTTATGATACCTTTGCAAAATGTAACTATTTAATTTAAAACCAACAATATTTGGGGGCATAAAAACCTCATAAACAAATGTAAAAAGGCAGAAATGTTATCTTACTCTATACAAACCAATGAAGCTAAAAGTCAACAAATCAACAAGAATTTATTAAGCACCTGCTCTGTGTGCCAAAAGAAGTAGGTAACGGGGAAAATATTTCTAGTAAATTTCTCTGATCAAATTTTCATTTCTAAGATACACAGGGAATTAATTAGATTTATAAGAATGAGAGACATTACCCTACCATTGCAAATGGCAAAAGCATATGAACAGTAGTTTTCATAGGAAGTAATACAAGCTATTAGCCATTTGAAAAATAAAAGTTTCAAATCACCAATAGAGAAATTCAAATTAAAGCCACTGTGAAGTTCTGCCTCATACCCATCAGATTTGCAGAAGTAACACAGGACCTGGTTTCATACACCTGTGATTTCTTCTCCTTGGGGAGGTTGAAGCTGGTAGATCACTTGAGCTCTGGAATTTTGAGCTGCAATAGGGCTAAAGCCAATAGAATTTCACACTAACTTCAGCACTCATTTGCTGTGAGGGGCCATCAGGTATCGAAGGACAATCAAATATACCTAGGTTAGAACAAAGCAGATCAAAGCTTTTCTACTGCAGTTCCAGCTTAGGCAGATGGTGAGACACAGTCTCAAAAAAATTGGCCAAGTTGTACCCCAAAAAAGATGACAAATATTGGAGGAACTGTAAGAAAACAGGTACACTAATGGTTCCTGCTCTAACTATTCTGGAAAGTAATTTGGAACTATGTTCCAAATGCTATTAATTGTTCCCTTTGACCTAGTGATATCATTCTAGCTTTATTTCAAAAGAGATCAAAGGAGAAGGAAAAGGATTTATTTTATAAAAATATTTGTAGCAGTTCCTTGTAGTGGCAAAGAACTGGAAAAACGGCTGTGGGGTGGGGAGTACTTATCTAACATGAATTGGGGAAATAGATGAACAAGTTATGGTATATGAACATGATAAAATACTCTTTGGAGTAAGAAATAATGAAGAGGATAGTTTCAAAAAAATCTGCGAAGATAAATGAAGTAATATAGAGTGAAGTGAACATAACTAAGGCAGTAAATAATAGAATAACAACAACATTCCAAAGATAAACCTCTTTGAAAGATTTAAGAGTGTCGATCAATACACTCAGCTATGATTCCAGAGAACTCAGAATGAAACATGTTATTCACTTCTTGACAAAAATATGATGGACTCAGTATATAAATTGACACATTTTTTTGGGAAAATGTCTAGTATCGAAATTTGTTTTGTTTGATTATACATATAGCACCTACCTCCCAGGGTTGTTGTGAGGATCAAATAAGATAATAATTGTAAAGCACTTAGCAGAGTGCCTAGCGCATAATAAATGCTTTATAAATATTAGCTATTTTAATTATCATTATTATTTGTTGCAAGAATTTTGTTTTTCTTTCTTTTTCAAGGAAAAGGAGATGGGAGGAAAAGGTAGATTTTTGTTAATTGAAAAATTGGGGGTTTTTTAAGTGAAATTCTGAAGACACAAAGGGAAACAATTGTGATGTGCAGGAATACTGTAATTTGTCTGAAGAAACCAATCTGGATGCACAGCGATCATGCCAACCAACTGAAATTGTACCTAAGATGAAAGCAAGACCAAGTAATATAAGATAACTGTAACAGTGTAGTAGAATTGTGTAAAAATTACAATCAGGAATACTAAGCTGAGAATGACCTGAGGCTGGTGAGGGAAAATAAGGACAAAGAAAAAGGTGACTATTGTTGAACCATATTGTAAGAAAAAAGAGTATCAAAGAAGAGATAGTACTTTTGCTTGAGAAGAACGGAAAGATTATAACTGAAAACAGAGAGAAGGCAGAACTGGTCGACGTTTTTTTCCTTTTTTTTCTCTGCAAAGAGTGTAAAAGCTATAAGTCAGTGAACTTGTCTTCAATTTCTGGGAAGACGTTTGAAAGGGTTATTAGAAATAATTGTTGAACATTTAGAAAGGGAACAGTGGTTACAAAGTCAGTCTGTCTTCGTCAAGGATAAGTTATAACAGCCTAACCCCTTGCCTTTTTTTGAGAGGATTACTAAACTAATGGATGAAGGAAATGTCATGGATATTAGCAAAGCTTTTCATAATGTGTCACATATTATTCTTGCAGAGAAATTGAAGAGATATGAATTAGATGATAATATAGTCAGATGGATTCACAACTGATTGGATGGACATGCTTAAAGAGTAGTTGTCCAAGCCAGTGTCAATTTAGCATAAATTCTCCAATTTAATGCCCTAGGAATCTCAACTTGACCTCTTCCTCTTAACATTGATTTGGATAAAGGCATTAATGATATACTCATCAACTTTGCAAATCACCAGGCTGGAAGGGACAGAATGAAGAGAACAGTGTTACCAATCAAATATAAAGCACCCTGTGGGCCACATATTGACTTAGAAAACCACAAATTAACATTTTCTGTTGCATTGTATTGTATTTATTTTGTCAAACCCAATTTCATTTTAATATGGTTCCCAGCACTTAGGAGTTGTGTCTGGTTGTGAGTTTGATACCTTTGGGCTAGAATACTGGGCTGAATCTAATAAGTTGAAATACTATTCCTCCCCTCTGAAAAACAGTCAGCTTTATAAGTATGCAATGGAGGAGGCATGATTAAAAAGCAATTGTTTTGGAAAGACTCTGTGGAGGTTGGTGAACTGCAAGCTCAATTTCATTTAGCCGTTTGGCATATCAGCCTTCAGCTAATGTGAATCTTGGGCCACGTTAAGAAAGGGAATACCTTTTAGAAATCGAAAAGTGATAGTCCTACTGAACTGTGCCCTTGTCAGACCCCATCTGCAGTATTGTTTTCAGTTCTGAGTACTACAGTTATTCCTCTCGCACCCCTCTATTATCCTCACTCTAGTTCTCTCTCAATTCTTGTTCCTCTCTATAGACTTCACTTTCTCCCTCTTTTGGGATCAGATAGAGGCTAGCCTTAGCCCTAGAAATTATCTGGTCAGAATCCTTCATTTTCTGAAGGGGAAAGCTGCTACCTGTAGTGAGGCTACTTGTCCAAGGTAATACCTGTAATAAGCAGCCAAGTCAGGAATCAAAACCAAATTCTCTGACACAAGATCAGCTTAACCAAATAGTAAATCTGACTAATAAATGCTAAGATAAGTGTTAAAATATGAACTAATCAGTCGCTTTAAAAAATATGGGGGTAATTCAATATGGAAGGTGAGTTAAGTTATAGTTTATCTTGTAGAAGAATTTCCAAATAATGGAATACATTTTGCTCATATTATATCATTTAAATCACTATTTTAATTATGGTTTAATAATTATATCTTTCAGCTCTTCTACAAGTGACAATTTCACTTAGCAAAGTAGAAATTAGTGTTGGTGAGTCCAAATTCTTCACATGTACAGGTATGTATTTGAGTATACTTTTAAGATTATACTTGACATGTTTCAGCCTTAATAATATTCTTGGAAAATTATTAAATATTCATAAATTTAACTTTACAAAAATAGTAGTATTATCTGTAAGTTTGTTTTTCCTAACACTGCATTGTAAGAAATAGTATTTGGCTTATGTTCTATGTATTTGGATATATACCTCATTATTTCTAAATACTAAACTGACCGGGTTGTTTATTTTGAAAATAATTCCATTGTATAAATAATATGTGCATGCTAATGGATTTACTTAAATAATTTCAATTGTCTCAGTAGAATTATAAGCAGGACATATCAATTAGGGCTTTGAAATTTGTAGTGTATTGAGAATATTTGCATAAGCAGAAACAATTGAGTTTATCACATAGATAGTAAGATTATTTAGTTAAAATAGTAAGCTACAGAGATGAGTTACTTCTTTCCCCAGCTAGGTGATGCAGTGAATCCCAGAGTGCTGGGATTTGAATAAGGAAAACCTGAGTTCATATCCTAGCCTGAGACACTTAGTAGCTGTGTGTCCCTGGGCAAGGCACTTAGCTTTTGCTTGATTCAATTTTCTTAACTCTAAAATTGGGATAATAATAGATCTTACCAGATAGGGTTGTTGTGTGAGTATCAAAGCACTTAGCACTATAACTGGTACACAGTAGGTGCCATATAAATGCTTATTACTTTGTCTCCCTTCTCCCTATAGCAATAATTGAGGCATACCAAAAAACGAACAAAAACTGGACTCAGCCTGTTTCATCTCCCAGTTATCAATGTAACTACAAAATTACATTACCTGACCAATTTATTCTACACAAGAGATTCAAACTGGTTTAATGATTATTAGCATAAGTTTTTTCAAGGTGCCACTTTCTCAAGAAACACATGGATTGCAGGTTGCATTTAATATTATAGATTTGTTCATTCCTTATGCCAAAATGAGTTAAAATCAGTTTTCTGTTTGACATGGAAAATCTTTTCTCTCTCTGATACAAAAGTTTTCTCATGGGAACTGTAATGTAAATGCAAACAACACTAAAAAGCAGCTAAATTCAGATTTCCTACAGTGATTACTCTTGGGCCTAAAGACAGATGATGAAACACATTTCTCTTTTTCAGTAGAAAAGTAGAAAACTATGGGAGAGAAATGTTGCATGTGCTGTCATATGTACTAGTTTTGACCACAAGTTTTATTTCTTTGATACAGGGTGGGTTCAATATTTATATATACGGATAGGGAGAATGAGACAAGAAGTCAGAATAAGATATGACTTATGTAAACAAAATAAAGCATCAAAACCTTTAAAATCATATATTAGAAAATCTCTTTCACAATAAGATGTTGGCATTTTTACTATAAAAATTAATAATATGAAGGAAATTATTACATAAGTATTAGTATACATGAGAAATAGAATTGTATTTGTCATCAAAATATTATTCATCTAGGGAAACAATTTTTAGGTTCAAGTTGTGTTCCTGATGACTGTCCCATAATGGGGAAGGAGTTCTCCAAGCTATAAATCAAAGACTTGACTTCCTCCCTACCAAATGCCAGTTACACAAAAAATCATACATGCTGCAAAGCAAATAAGCCCATTTGTCCAAGCTGAGAGCAAAGATATATCTGAGAAATCATGCAAATGAGAATATACCAGACAATCCACAGAGTAACCACTGACAGTGAGATATCTCACTGGAACCAAGAAAGAGAGTTCCAGATTTCACCCAAGGGGAATTCCGCAAAGTTTCTGGGGTGATAAGCTGGGGATGGAGATGCTGACTCTTCTACATACCACCTTCTTCACAGAGTCTTTTTCTCCTTCAGGGACCTCTCCCTAAAGAGAGAATCTAGAACTATGTGTCTTCCCTCTCTCTCATTCTCTCACCCTCTCCCTTTTCTTCCCCCCCACCTCTTCTCCCTTTTAAAAAGAAATGTATTTTCCTCTCTGTTCCAAATTCTCTCTCTTCTCCTTCCCTTTCCCCAGCCTGTTGAGAAGACAAAAAAAAAAAATGACCCATTACAAGTATGTATAGTCATGCAAAATATGTTCCAAAAAAAAAAGGAAAAAAAATATGCTTTAATCTGGTCTCTAAATCCTTCAATTCTCTATCTAGAGTTCTTAATGAGTCCATGGAAATTATGGTTGGTCATTTGATTGATCAGCATTATTAAGTCTTTCAAAGTTGATTATCTATATAAATTGTTCTCTTGGTTCTTCTCACTTCACTTTGCATGAGGTCATACAAATCTTCCCTATGTTTTTCTGAAACTATCCTCTTCAACATTTCTTACAGCACCATACTAATCCATTAAATTCATGTGCCACAACTTGTTTGACTGTTCTGTAATTGATGGGCATCCTCTTAGTTTCCAGTTCTTGGTCACCACCAAAAAGAGCTACTATAAATATTTTTGTACATGTGGGTCCTTTTTCTCTTAAGGAGACAAATCTTGTTAAACAGACTGTGGAGGTAACTTAAGTCAGATTACAGCTTAGTAACTACATTTAGAGGGTTCACAATGGACTGTTTGAGAGGGGTGATTTACACATCACCAAAGTAACCAAGAAAACTCAGTGTCAGGGAATTCCTCTCTTATATAGTTAGCTGGGATACCTGAAAAATAAATTACTTTAGGAATCTCAAACTTCCCTTTGGCTTCTACCTGAGGAATGTCAAATAGTTAGCATTATTATTCCATAAGTCAAGTTTTGGTCAAGTTATATTAATAAAAACAGAAAACAGGCTTTCAGTCGACCAAAAGTTGCAGGAAGAATAGCCCTGATCCCCAAACAATAAATAAAAGGAGTTAGGACATATCCCTCTTCCAGGCAAACATAAACACCATGAAAAATTAATACAATAACAGTTAACAGTTTAAATAACATTGTCTTCTTGTGACCCACTCCCAATTTCCATTTAATCAGCACATTTCATCTTGAGTCTCACACTTCCCACGTAATCATCTGGTCTTCCCTTGGATACTTTAGAATAGGCCTTGTGCTCAGGACAGCTGTGGATGGGGCTCCTCCAATCAGATCTGCTTCTCTGGTTCCAAGTAACTTGCAGAGATTCTCTATTTAATATTGCTAAAATCTGCCAGTAACAAGGACTTAACACAATTTAATACAGTCTTCTAAATTTGGTTTTCCAGTAACTAGTCCATATGGTGAAAACTAGCTTAAACTTAATGGAGCTAAGCCTATTAACAACAGAGCTATAAGAAGAACATTAAATTGGGAACCCATAATTCATCTAAAGTTAAAAGAATTTCAGTTTTATATACTACTTGCTCTGTCATTACTTGAACCATGTACCTGATATGGACAATGCCATCTACAGACTGAAGGAAGACTCTTAAGAGGATCCATAGCTTGTAAAGAGAGTCCATCTGTCTTTTAATGTTATCAGAGGTTTTAAAACATGAAAAAAAAAGATTTAAAATTTTCTTTACAATTATTAATGCAATTCTATTTGTAAAAATCCTTAATCCAAGTTTGAGAACATATTATTAAAACAAAATCAAAACCTTATTATACAGTTAGAAACATTTGGAAGTGAATCATATGTGTATGTATGTGTATGATGTGTGTGCGTGTATAATGTTTTAGTTCCTAAAATAGTCTAATCTTGTTGCTTTCTCAAAGTGAAGTTTACTACTCCATTAAAATTTTAAAATTTTTACATCTTCATTTCATCCTCTCCTTTTGAGGACATAGATCATCCTTAAACCCTCCTGAAAGATACTTAAGGATGGCAATCCCAAGAATTCATTTACTTATTTACTTAGGGTGGGAAGTTGATGACAAATTCAGATTAAAAATAATATCTTTCATACTTGTATCTCTTTATAGCAACTCAGAGACATTTTAGTATTATTTTATCAATAGATTTAACATTGCAGCAACACTCCTACACTGATTATAGAAATTTTCTATGAAAGGAAAAAGGAAGAGCATGATTACAACAATATCAAGACTGTCCCCAAAAGGGCACAGACTGACCTAAAATAAGCATAACAGGGGAATAAACTCCCTTTGCTCTGTGATTCCAGGGAAGGGTCCTAGTTTACAACTAATCATGTAGCAAAGTTACACAGGATTAATCAAGTGGGAAAATTTTCCTGTTCAGAAAGGAAATAGCATAATAGGGCAACCAAGTCAAGAAGATCCCACTTTTGCCTCTACGAGGTCGTCACCTCAACTTTCCTAGGCACAGACATCCATCTGTAACAGTTCTTAGACTTCACCCTTTTGGGGCAGCACATGGCATTTCCCTTAAATGGTGGTCTATTGGTTTAATAACAATTCAGATAATTATGCCTAAAATAAAAACTCAGAACAATATCAAATCACTGTCCCAAGAAATTTTGACTCAAATAGCAAAATTTCACTAATCACAGCATAGGGCTAGGTTATTAATATTTTTTCTCATATTATTACAATAATAGTTAACTGTACATAAAAGAATATATAAGCACATATAAAGCCTTATCTTATCCTTTCTAGTTTAAATCCATCCTAGAGCTGAAATTAAAAATTAAAAATTAAAAATAATTACATTCTGGCATCTCACACTTACAGTGAATACATGATAGTTGATTCAAAACCCCCAGAAAAATGCTGGCTATTGTAAGCCTACAGACTAACAGCTATCTATGTTGCCAGTTAACCCCTCATACAAAAAAATCTTATAATCTAAGGTCTGTTGTTACTAAGATGACTCAAAGATGTCTCTTCAATACATAGTATTTATTAAGAGGTACAATTTCATAATTCTCATAAGCAATGGCAAGACAGTCAGTCAGAGAAAGCTCCCTCTTTACTATAAGCAAATTTGTAACTCCTTTATAAAACTTTACAGTCTTTTGTTAGCAGCTTCTCTCAAGAGTTAATAAGATCTTATGATCTTGCCCAAATAGAAAGTCCCAAAGAACCTCACAGACAGGGAAGGATACCCTAAGAGGTGTGTGGTGCTTT